GCCGAGTTCACGAAGTGAATTGGCTTGTTTTACAACGTCTTTGCCAAGCGACGAAAGCCCAATCCCGATAGCAAACACCGGGGGGGGCGGCTTGTTTTACAACGTCGTTGCCAAACGACGAAAACCCAACCCCGATGGCAAAAACCGGGCGGCAAACACCGGGGGCGGCGGCTTGTTTTACAACGTCGTTGCCAAGCGACGAAAACCCAACCCCGATGNTGCTTTTTTTTTTGCGGCGCCCCCTTCGGCCCCCTGCCGGCTCTGGCGCTCTCTGGCGCTCCGGCTCTGGCACAGCACGCCAGACAGGCTGCGAACCACGATATGCTGTCTGCTGTACGGTTTTGATGGTACTCTCCGCCAACTCAGGTGAGCAGAGAAAATAAGAAATTGTCCATTATTGAAGAAATTCAGCAGGATTTGGCGGCACGAAAATACGAAACTTGCCATAAGAAATTGAAGGACGTACGCTGAGTTCATAGCCCACAATAACATTTCGAAGCTGGACCTGAAATAAATAAGCGTTTCTCAATTGCGGGCGCTAACTGTAAACCGACCAATAAAGGGACATCGACAATTTTTTGAAACGGGCGGGTATCTCCGCACAATCCGCGGGGACCCTTTTTTTTTTTTTTTCAAAACTCTCAGCTTTTAGTTAGCTTTCGTTCGAGCACTTCTTCAGCGCGCCGATCGGGTCACGCATCTCTGAGGTACAGCACCCGCTCCCTCCATATCCGTGATGCGGGGCGTCTTTGCCTTTGTCGGGCTCCTGCTGCTAAGCATGGGGCGGACAAAAGTGGACCCAGCGCAGGCCCAGAAGGCTGTTGATGCGGTACGCAGCGGTCAGACGTCGGTTAGGGGTGCTGCCGAGGCCTACGGGTTAATAAGCAGGAACTCGCTGCACAGCCGTGTGACCAACAAGGTGGCCATAGATGCGAAGCCTGATCCCGGGACTGTCCTGAGCAAGGAGGATGGAGCTTTCGTAGAAGATGTCGTGGTCTACGCTTCCCGACACTTTTTGCTGTTGGGTCGGAGGGAGCTGAAAGACGCCATCTATGCGGAAGATCTGCCACGACGGGCGCAAGGTGCCCTGTCAAGGGCCCGAAGGATCGCTGGCTTCAGTGGTTCCTGAAGAGGCACCCGGAGTTGTCGGAGTGAACGACCCACATCCACGAAGCAAATCGGATCAACAAAGATGACGAGTCTCGCCTTGAAGCCTTCTCCTATGGGGGCCTTCCGGTAAATGCCGGTCAATGGCGTTCTAGAACGAGTGTTCGTCGGTATGAAAAACAGAGACCGGTTCTAGAAACGTCTCGGCGAGACCAACCGAACGAAAAAAAAAACGAAAAAAAAAACGAAGAAACACATTAAACGAGATGAAATTACACAACATAACATATATGAGACACACAAGACAGCTACCAAACTGATTTCTGAGCCTGACACCCGCAGGGGAGTTGTCCCTATAGGCTGTCTAGGAAATCGTAGACATACAGGTAGTTTTCTCTGACGCTATTATTCCATTGTTATATATTTATTTATTTTGCCTTCCGACAATTAATTGCAGATGTACCTCAGAAAACTTTCACTTAATGTCTCATACTCTACATGAATATTAAACCAATACGAAGTACAACAGCACATACATGTAGGACTTATTTCTACTGTCATTTACATCGAAAAAAATATCTCCTCTTCAACTTGAAATAAAACCAATGACAATCCTGATGGTATCCTATATGCGTTCGTAAGCTTGCTAATATACTACTGCGTTGATGTCCTTTTGTAAAAGCTGAAATCCAACAAATGCTTTGATCCATGCTACATTTGTGTCCTCGTCTTTGCTTTATTCTGTTTTATTTTGTCTTTTGTTTTGTTTTTTACTGGCACGTACCCCCGCCCCTTCCTTTGGCCGTCGACCTGCCTCCATGTAGTGGGAGGCTACCCCCCCAGGCTGGTGGTGCGGCCGTTCCA